TCATTTAAATGTTACCCTAAAAATCCAAGTGAAAAAAATCCGCAACTCTCTGTTCTCAGGTCAAATATTATATGGATTAAAATGTGAATTATGACAGTCCCGAGGGTACCGACGTGTATTTGATTAACTCTGAGGAGGCGAATTGCGTTTGTGCTATGTTTGAAGGTGACAGTCAGAAGATTGAAACCAGAACACTGCAATCAACAGCACACCCGATACTCTGCTACTCTGTTCATGTGCCCATATTTGTGCATTTTTAATTCCGTGCATACTGTGGTTATAATGTATTACTTTATACTTAACAAGTTGGAGGTCGAACTCATTAGTAGGTTAATATTGGGTGGTTTTAGTACCCAATAAAAACTGATTATTTATATGTTAAATATACTCCCCCCCCCTTTTTTACTTTGACTTAAAGTTGACATATCGTGTTTTCAATAATGAATTTTACATCTAAATCATCAATTTGTGGCCTATAACAGCGTAACTGCAATTCCTGGGTCTGAGTCTCATTATTTGTAGCTCCACAGGCCCCCCCCCCCCCCCCCCCCCCCCTTATAATTTTATTTCTTCTACACCTGTTCTGATGTGCTAGTCTGAGAGCACACCAGTGTTGGTGTAAGCTGTCTCTTAAAATGCAAAAGACGCGCTTGTTTGACCACAAGCCCCCATCCATGTAGAACACAGTTCAACCCACCCCTAGCGCACATTTCACTTGTATTTACAAGCACAAATACAATTATCACATAGAAACTTCTACATAAACATCGCAAACATGGAACATGCCTTCCTCATTGACTGAAAGCACATGTTAATTTTCATTCTTAGATCCATCTTATTATCGCCTCCTTCTCTTTTAATCTTTGGGATGCGCGACAATCAAGATGCTCACAACTCCGTTTGTTTACCAACAGCGGTCCTCGGACCTGGCGCGGGCCTACGTCCGCCGGATATGACGCACTACCCGTTGACGTAAATGTTTAAATTGAATATTACTTATGCACATATAACAGCAATTAAAAACTTTGAGAACGTTGATTTCCTTCTACAGAAGGCAAGAGAACGCATGCGCCTCCGGAGCCGCAGGTTGCCGACTCCTAGTATTATACAGTATGTGGAAGCACATGTAGAGCAGAAATGAATTGTCTCCCAACGTGGGGTCCGCCAGTCCCCCTGGTGGGCCGCGACGCGGTACTGCAGGGTGGCCGCGGAGGTCATAAAAAAAAAATATAATATATATAAATACTATAATTATTAATGTTAAATGCATAATGTTTTGTTTGTAATATTGAAAATGATGTTGTGTTCATAATTTTGACTTGAATAATCCACTGTACCATTAATGTATTACAAGATGATTTGATAGTGGGAAAAAGAGTAATAAAGAAAAAAAAGAGATAAGGAATAATATGAAAAAAGATGAAAGATTGAGAAAAAAATAAAAAAAAGAAAAAAACGGAAAAAGATAAATAAGGAGATAAAAGATAAGGAGAATAGAAGAATGAAGAAAGGGATTAAAAAAATAAAAAGAGAAAATAGGAGAAAGATCATAAAAAAAAAAAACAAAAAGATCATCGAGACGTAAGAAACAACGAGTCACGAACCAAACGGACAAGACTAAGCAACCACAATTAAGTCGAGAAAGTCATGCATCGGCAATTACCCCACCCACACAATAAAACCCCACGCCATCCGACACTTAACAGATAGACATCAAGGTGTATATAATTTCTGGGTGCCACGCATACTCCGTCCGCCTATAAGGGGCCACGTTGATACTGAGTCTTTGGGGAAGGCTGCTGTCGCGGAGAACAGGAAATTGCATTTTCCAACACTACCAATAAATGCATAGTCTACATTAACAAGAGGGTAATGACACCTGACCTCCAGATGTCTGAGGTGTGACACCGACAACACTATTGTTAGATATACAGGGATGCACAGAATAGGTCAAAAAAGACTGAAATTCCATCAGTCCGCCATTGGCTGGCTCTAAATCTGTCTACTTGTTCACAACATATTACTTTTGGGCATCAAACCTGAACTATTATATTCAATGCAAAATGTAGGATATCAGAGCTTTATTTCGAGTCGTTTAATCGCTGCTTCGAAGAGGATAGGGGATGGACCGGACTGTTTCCTGCAGCAGTGAATTTATTGGGTTCACAGATTACTCAAAGACACGCATTGGTCCCTGTGCGCCGATTATGGTGTGTTGGGAACATTGCACGGTTTATGGGTGGCACTCTCAGCCACAACCACGAGAGCGGCTGCGAGCGGCAGTGATGTTCCAGCCGCTGAACGCAGCCGCTCCACCGAGTTGGGCTGAGCGTGCAGCCTCAACGTGGCCATGTACCCCAACCCATAAACGCGCACAGGAACCATGCATCTTTTATTAATCGGTGCACCCATACATACACGCAGTGCCGGAAGACCGAGTCCGCGACTCCCCTGCTCCTCTTGAAGCGCGATTGAAACGCCAAATAAAGCATCTGATACCAACATTTTGCATTGAATAAGACAACAGTTCATGGAGTTCTTAGCCCAAAAGTAATATTTAGTGAACAAATTAGACAGAATTAGAGCCCAGCAAAATGGCCATGACAATATGTCTTTACAGTCTATGTTTGACGCATTCTCATCCTGTAACAAACAAAACTGTTGTCGAGTCCACCTCCTCACTCTGCAGACATGTTCGATAACCCTCTTGTAATTTAAGACATTTGCATTTAATTTTATTGTTGAAACTTGCACCTATCCTGATCCTCTACAGCATCATTCCCCAAAAGGGGGGGGGGGGGGGGGGGGGGGGCAAACACAGTAACACCGAGGCCCCCTTAAAAATCCTGACGGGTCTGCGTGGCCCCCCAAAAATAATAACCAAGAAACAACGAGAAAGACTAGGCTCTTCAGGTTATTTTAATTTTGGGAAAATAGCCTCTGCTACAAACATTGTAATACAAAAAATGAATACAGAGGAATATTCCAGTCAAATAATAACACAATATTTTAAATATAACAAACAAAACATTTATAGAGACCAATTTAACATTAAATAATATATATATATAATAAACAATATTTTTTTATGACCCTCCCGCGGCCCCCCTGCAGTAACCTCCGCGCCCACCAGGGGGCCGCGGACCCACGTGTGGGAGGACACTGCTCTACATTTGCTCCACATACTGTATAAACTAGAGTCGGCAACCCTGCGGCTCCGTAGGCGCATTGCGTCTCCCCTTTCCTTCTGTATGAAGGGAAAATACTTTCTCAAAGTTTTAATGCTGTAGAAATTGTTCATAGTAATATCAATTTATACATTCCGTCACACGTATTGCTCATATTCCTGCGAACGTAGGCCCGCGCCAGGCGGCCCTGTGGTAACAAACCGGCGTGTGAGAATCAGAGACTGTGCGCATCCCCAAAGCTAAAAAGAGAAGAGTCGATAATAAGAGGAGGAAAGACAACTGGACTAATGAAAAAAATTAACATTTGGCTTTCAGTCAATGAAGAAGGCCCTGCTTCATGTTTGCGATTATTGAGAAGTTCCTATGAATAATTGAATTCTGTGCATAGTAAACCTACCAAATGGCCGCTCGGGGGTGGAGTTGAACCTGTGTCTCCTGATGGGGGGCGAGGTACAAAGCGCTCATTTGCATTTAAAGAGACAGACAACCAAAAACGAGTGCTCTCCAGACGCACCTCAGAACAGGTGTAGAAAGAAAGGCCATGGAGCTACAAAATAATGAGACTCAGACCCAGGCATTGCAGTTACCTTAAATAGGCCACAATTGATGATTTAGATGTAAAAATCAACAATATTGAAACCACGATATGTCAACTTTAAGTCAAATAAGAGTCATAATTTAACATAACATCATCATTATTAATGGTTAGCAAAACCACCAAAATCTAACCAACAAATGAGTTCGACCTCCACTTGTTAAGTATAAAAGAAACAATAATAACCACATATGCACTGAAGTAAAATGCACAATAAAAAAAAAAAAGGCACATGAACAGATTAGCATAACGTGTGATGCAGGTTCTGGATTCACTCTTCTATGTCACCTTCAAACATCGCACCAAACGCAATTGCCTCATCAGAGTATCAAATACACTCGTTTCCCATCGACTGTTCAAGAAATCAATTTTTAATCACATAATAAATATTTTGACCTAGACATCAGAGAGAAGCGGTTTAATTTTTCAGCAGGATTTTTAGTAAACAATAAAATAATGATGAAATACATTAATTTTAAGCAACACCAATCTTGATTTATTTTTTGTTCAAGTCCAACAGACCAGTGAAAGTTTACTGCCTTTACGTGCAATACCATATTTAGAAATATATCTTCCCATCCACCGGCAACTAGAAAAAACGGTCTGTTTTAGTCTGGTATAGACTGGTTTAGTCTGGTTTAATCTGTTTAGTCTGTTTAGTCTGGTTTAGTCTGTTCCTAGTCTGTCTAGTCTGGTTTATGTCTGGTTAGTCTGGTTTAGTCCTGGTTGTCTGATTTGGTCTGGTTTAGTCCTGGTTTAGACTGGTATATGTCTGGTTGATTCTGGTTTAGTCTGGTTTAGTCTGTTTCGTCCTGCAGTGAGCACAAGTTCCTTCAGCTCCACGCTGTAATACCCATTATATATATAGATCCAGGTACCATTTCACTGGGTCATCACCTAGAACATAAATACGGAATCGGGACGGAAGCGGAATAAACTATTACAAATTACCTAATAATGCCTAAACTTAACCAGTCCCATTCCCTATAAAATAACCCCAACCAGCCTTAACCCTAACCATAACCATCTTACTCAGACGCCTAAAACTTAACAGTCACCACTTAAGACATATTAGTCTAAAACTAATTCGAAAAGTACGAGTGTTTACTTCCGTTTCGTCCCGATTCACACGCGTAATGATCTAGTGCCGACAAGTTCACTGTGGTTTTGTGTCAGTTGTGTGCGACAGTATAATCGGTCCGTCTGAAACTCTCCAGGATAAATGTTCGGGGGGGGGGGGGGGGGGGGGGGGGGGGGGGGGGGGGGGGGGGGGGGGGGGGGGGGAGGGGGGGGGGGGGGGGGGGGCCGTGCCAAAATAAATACGATTAAAATAGCGTCCATTTTGATTTAGCCGCACACATTTTTAGTTAATTCATTAATCTTAATGAAACTTGTTTAAAGTCCCGCCCCTCAGCCTTAACACAGTGTTATCTTTTGAATACCATGTAAGTGGAACTAAATGTGAGAACAACTATTTGACCATAATATAAACATGAGCTTAAAGACATTCACAGTAACAGATGATTTGTGTGAATCATTTATATTCATTTAAAAGATGTGAGTTTGCAGTTTTCATATGAAAAACCAAACTTATAGTGTGGAGTGTATCTGGTCAGAGAACTGACCAGAGTGTCTCCAGTCGAACAGTCGGACTCTGTGTAGAAAACCACACAGATCAGACACTGCGAATCAGACAGAACGTTTCAGACCATGTCCCAGGAATGTGAGATGTGAAGGGGGTTGGACTCCAAAGCTGAGGCCACAGCGGAACACTGTATCTCTGACAAACCACATTTTCCACAACCCCTGAAATAAAGAAAACATGATGTAATGGAGCATCCGGATCTTATAAGACTACGAATACAAGCTGAGAATTGCTCGTTGCTTTGATATTCTGAGACTGAACTGGTTCCAAATTGAAAAATGTATTAGCAAATGATCCACACGTGTCCCATATATTAATAATCAGAGCAAAGCACATACGTCTCCTTTTAAGATATTAAACCCATTGTCATCACACCCTAGAACCGACAAGAGTCCAAGAGCACAGTGACAGGATTCGAACCCACGACCACTTCTAAATAATTTCCCAGAAGTCCACAGAGCGGCTCAGGGTCATGACCACAGCTGCTGTGGACACATTCAGCCTACTTCTAGAAGCCTCCAGATCAACAACTGACCCTTTTTTTAGTACAGAATAAACTATATAGTTTAAAACAGTGGAATGACCTTCCTGAAAAAACCCACCACTTAGTGAAATGAATAAAAGTAAATGAAAAAGCAAACACATTTATATATTTAATTCTAGACTTACATACACCACATGAGTGCTTTAATTAAAGTCTAAAATAGTGAATCATTCACATTACTAAAAGTGACCTAAAGTTTGTGCGACCAACAACAGAAAAGTGTCCCTAAATGATGGTTGTCTTCACAGCTGTGCTTTATAAAAAAACGTTCTAAGCCTTAATCAAAGTAAATGGATTATTACTATCCATACCCTGAAGCTCCGCCCACATCAAGCTCTATACAACTTGATAACCATACCACTGTTTAGTGCTAAACTGTAATGATTTGATAAACATTATGGTTCATTTAACCTGGTGCTGCTCCGCGCGAGTCTCAGTGTGAGGACTTGCTCCCACAGTTATGTGGACGAAACACAGCTCTCACCAACATGAGGATCCAGAGTTTTCATGAAGGACACTCCCTGAGAGAGGAGAGCTCACAGTGAGGACACCGCAGTCCAGCCCACAGCACAGACACACCTGAGTCCACATCAGTTCATATACGACTCAGATCCAGTGTCAGTGAGAAGGGAGGGGCTGGAACTCCGCGCTGATGCCACCACGAATCACAGTCGTTCACTGAGAGTCTACAGACAGCACAACTGCAACAACTTAGATTTAAATAATGTTAGAGTCAAGATCAGACTTGAAGCAGTTTGTGAGGGACTGACCCGAGCCTAACCTGCAGTTCCTCACAGCAGGTACAGTCCTCCTACTACCTTCTGCAGGACGTGTTGGACTTCTTTGGTTCAGTTCCACCAGGCCCTGGACTGACATCTGTCCGCATGTATGCCAGAGCAGAGCACTGGAACACAGACATTCGACTGCTGATCCCTTCCATACTTTCAGGAGAAGCTGGATTCATCTGCAGTAGAGACTGGTTCCGTTCATCTCCCTCAGACAGTGGAAGATGATGAGCTCTGATCTGAAAACTCCTCCTCTGAGCTCATCTCTTTGAGGTTTTCAATGACTAAGTGGATTCGTGACTGTTTACCACTGGATATTACGCGCAAGAACCTTTCAAAGTCTCTGGTTGGAAGTCCAGACTGAGGCATGAAGGAAGCACGACAACAGGTCCAGGCGACCGTTATGAACCACTCAGGATTGTATCAAGAGACTTTCTGAAAACTCACTTGCACTTAACTTTGTCTGAGTCTTTTCACAGAGAAACTTCCCAACGACTTGCATGTCACTTCCCAAAGAAGTGCAGCAGGTAACCGCTGCCATAACCTCCTGACACACAGGTGGAAGCAGCTGTAGACAAGATTGGTTGAAGACAACACCATTCTTGTTTTGAAAGAATCTCTGAACAGCAGGGGCCTGAGTAGACCGAGTGCCGCGTCTCCAGTCCCACCTGCTCCCGTCTTCCAGGTAGAACATAATATGTTTCCTTGCAGCAGATGTTCAAAGGCCAGTCTGGCCCTTCAGGATGCTTCTTGCTTCTGTCGGCCCCCCCCCCCCACCACATGATGTAGATCTTGTTTTCAGCATCTTAACCTGACCAGACCAAAACCTGTCTTTTCTCTGAACGGCCTCAGTCTCGGTTGGATTTTCTCTAACTGTTGGTCTGCACCAATAAGGAAAGCCAGCGTACATGTCGTATGAGAGTCTGGGCAGCGCTCCGCAATACGATCGGTTAACTCAACATGTGGTCCAGGACGGTGGCTGAGGATCCAGCAGAAGATGGGGCATCTGACACATGATGTGGAAGGTGCGTGCGGGAGAGCTTCTGACTGTGGGACAGGACGTTCTTACACTGATCTTCATCTGTGAACCTCTTCCTGAAGTACTGACTCCTTCTGACCCACAGTGAAGAAGCCTCTGACCTCATTGACTCTGTGCACACTTTCTGTGCTGGGATCTGAAATGGCTGCGCTGTCTGGAGCTGAGATCCATAAAAGGTGCAGTAGGAAGCAGAGTGCCTCTGATGAGGTTCACTATCAGCACACTGACGTCTTAGCTCAGGTGTGTAACCTCAGAGATGAGCTTCACAGTCAAAGTCCAGACCCATCTGCCTCGTCCCGCGCCGTACTAAGATGAAGAGGAGTTTAAGAGGACGGACAGAGAGTGTGAGAGAGAGTCAGTGGACAAACAAGAAATGACAGTTACCAAGTCATACATGATGAATGCCAGCCGATTTCTGAGGCATGATGACATGTGACATCATTTTAGACACCAGGAATTGAAGGTGTTTATATAACGTTATATATTAGTTATGATACAAACCCATCAACACATGCTGGAGAAGTTCTCAATGTGTTAAACACTAAAATCAATGTTTGAAAGTAAACACTGTGACACTGGACTGAAGCAGAAGATAAAGCACCTGTTTTTTCCAGCGCTTGTGATGGAACACTTGTATTGACGCTGCAACCGACTGTAGCGCTGAGCCCTTTCACCGGTTCATCTCTCTGAAGGACACGGCAGCCACCAACTCCAGCTCCTTGTTTCACTGAGCCCTGCAGCCCAGTTACAGACAGAACTTCAGACTGTAGAATGTCTTCCCCACTCCAGCCACGCCACAGGTCAGCACTGCTCTGATGAGACTGTGGCGCCCACCTGCTCGCTCCTGCAGTGGGCAGAGCTTTAAAGATGTCTCAGTCACTGATGGAGGAGTTTCCTGGCACATCTTCTTGGAAGTTCCACAGCCTCTGCTCCTCATTGCTGTTGGGCATCTTCATGGAGAGTTTCCCTCCCCCTCTGGCTCCTCAGCTGGGCAGTCTATCTTGGAGAGTTCCCTCAGCCTCCGCTCCTCATGCAGGGACTGTGGAGTGTTCCACTAGCCCTCTGCTTGATTTACAGCTCAGTGAAGATGCAGTAAGAGGAGCTAACTTCCTGCTCTTCTGTTCCCTCGTCCACACTCCCATATCTGCTGATCAACGCTGGTTATAATGATGCCTGGCAGAAGCCTCTGGAGCTCTCTTCTGTGAGAGGAAGCAGACGTAACAGTTCTTATCATGTTGTTTCTTATTAATAATACTTTCTATTACAGCAATGTTTTCATTTAGACTTATTCCCTGTTTCCAGAGTCTCCTTTTTTATCTGTGCAAGATTAAGTCTCAGCAAGTTACTTCAGCTTTAGTGGCACAGTGCATCCAGAAAGAACTCAACCAACCTTCATGCAGTTGACTATTTGAAACTTATGTACATAGGGAATTCTTTGTGTTTTGATTCTTAACCAACGGCAAAGTGAACCTAAAAAACATCTAAAAACTTGTCATAGAGTATTCCGAGTAGATTGACAGGATAATGAAAACCGTTGAGATAACAAACTGAAGAAATGCAACTTAGGATGTCGCGCCGCTCTGAACACTTTGCCGCATTTTGATATCCGATATTAATGTTTCTATTAGGCCGATACCAGTATTTTGCTGATAACGATGTTTATAAAATAATACTAATAATAATTCTGAGATGATAAAAGTTTGTACATACAGGAATTAATTCCTATTTTTCAGAATGTATTTTTATTTTAGTTAGAAAGCGATTGGCGCAAAAGGCACACAGGAGCTATTTTGTGGGCTCTTATTTTGAGGTGAAAACCTATCTTTAAATGCGCGTATGTAGGTAGTTATAAAAAGAGTAATGATAAAAATAGACAAGAATAATAGTCACCAATAATAAATGATAACATTTAAAAACTATGATAAGGTTCTAACATAGTATTAAAAGTGGTACATTTCAAGCTATCAATAATACGGTTGATTACATAAAGATGAATTAGAGTTCCGTAATCGAGTATCCTCTAGCAACCTGACCAGTGATTGATGACACACCGGCTGATATCGAATTTTTATACCAATATACGTGCTCACTGTTGAAAAATGAAATAAAAGTGAAAGAGGTGGAATACTTCATGAGCAGGTGTCCAGACTGGTTTGTCCACTATCGATTTATATTCAGATTAAACAGGAGGAAATGTTTTCTATAATTGAGGAGATGTTAGAAAGTACAGACTCAGTCTATTTTTACACTTGTTCCAAATGAAAAACATCCTAAATGAGACCTAAGAATAATCTCCTCCACTATAT